GAAGTAGGGAATGAGGTCCCGTATACTGTGCCATGCCCGTCGTTTCTGGAATTGGTAATTAAAAATAGTGTCTCTTTTGCGCTTCCGGCCTGTTTTGTCTTCATTTTTTGAACTTAGTCCGTCGGCAGCAGCGAGTTGACTTTGCTTGTAATCTGGGTTTGGTCGCATTTGTATAACAGGATGGTTGATCTGAAAAGAAAAGACCTGCCTGTAAAGATCGAATGGGCCGGCATTGCAGGCTTCTATGAGGCCAGTTCCACTGTCAAAGGTGGTGGTCAAGACTGATCTCGTGTTTTCATTTCCAATGACAATGGCGCCCTTATCGCACGCGATTTTGAGTGGCAGAATTCGGAGCAGCCTCGACAGACTCTCTCCTATCTCTTGCGCAGATTCAGCCACATTTTGTGACTCTCTGCTTTCCGGCTCGGTCTCATTACGCCCGGCGACATGACAGAGATTTGGCGCCGGATTTGCCTGATTGGTCCCCTTCAATTGCGGGTTTGACGAATCTCTTTCTGTTTCTTGCGGCTTGGTAGGACTCCGCGGAGCTGTCGGATCATCGCCGTCAGTCGGCTGGCCAAATCCGGCAAGGATGCTGTCGTAGGCCGGCGTGCGATTGTATATAAACCACTCTAGGCCGTAGAACTGAATTGTAATACGACATGGGAGGTTATCCGCTCCCAGACCTCCCTGTTCTCCTTCGCCATCGTTCTTGCTAGCCTTGTCCGAGCTCTGAGAATCGAGGCGTTGAGATCCGGCCGGCGTCTTTTCATTGCTCGAGCTTAGCAAGGACAGATCAGTATTTCTAACTGTGCGCTTCCAATAATGCCATGTAATGAATCCTCCGTGCACAAAGATGGTCTCGTTCACCCCGTGATATCGGATACCCTTCCAGAAGATCCTACCTCCGAGTATCGAGATCTGTAGTGCGTGGATGTCGACATATGCGCGATAATAGTGCCAGGTATAGGCACGAATAGCGTACGACAGGAGAGTTGCGAAGAGACGATTAAAGTAGAGCAGGAAGAACAGCACCCTGTTCATCTAATTAGCGGTTGGCTTGCCTTTAGGGAGATATTGATGAACGTACAAGATGCAAGATACGATGAGTTCAAGGAGGAAAAACCTTCGGTATTATTAGTCAATGCCAATAACTGATCGCCGTCACGCTCCTCACCAGTTAAAGCTGGGATCTGGGGTTAAAGATAGAGTTGTCAAGCTTGTGCTTGTGCTGGCCATCTCTTCCTAATCTGGGGCGCCGATGGCCGCAAACATGGCGACTCAGCAGAGCGAGCGGTCCCTCCTCGAATAAACCGGACAAATGGTGAGAAGGAGATTGTGACACGGTCTCATCGTACCAGCTGAGTTTATCTCATTCGAACCTCAACAAACCATAGTGGTCAATCCTCGCATTGTTGGGAGATGCTCCCTCGGCATTGAATTGATGAGGCAAGGCGGTGTCTTTGATCCCTCCTGCCTACGCAATGCGGCACGGGACTTCGTCTGGATTTCTTTAGGTTGTCTAGCTAGCCAGGCAGCTTCGTCCTTTGTTATTTTTGGACAACGGGTCATATCTCGAGAAATATTTAGCTCTTGATCTTATTTTCTCGAAGATCGGCACCTCCTATATTCGAAGGATCATGTTTTGATATTCTTGTTATCTTCGGTAGGTCGCAGCATGCTTTGCGGGTAAACTCAGGCATCATCGAAACGCGGTCAAGTACCGCGAAGTCTTCTCGACAATGACTACAGGCTCTTCTTCTGGTGGTACAGGGTCGAGCCTGGCTCGAGCTGTGGTGATAGTTGCTGGCGTCTCTGCATTGGTAGCTTCAATGCTATCACTTTTGTGAGTATCGCGTGCGGTTTGGTCAATGGCCATCACCTCAAGAATCGCTAGCTAACATGACCTGTTCTTTCCAACTAGGTCCATATGGCTTCAGACGTGCGATAAGTTCCTTTCGAGCTCATCAGCTATGCGCTGACTCGTTCCACAGTAAAAATTACCGAAAACCGTTGCTCCAACGATACGTTGTTCGCATACTCTTGATGTTAGTGTTTGCTCCCGAGGAGGAGACCATGAGCTCATTCGGCCTAGGGTTCCAATATATGCGGTTGCTTCTTGGTCGAGCATTGTTTCACGGCGAGCGTCTCTTTGGCTAGACCCTATTCGCGACGTCTACGAGGTATATTAGAAGGTCTATTCAATTGCGCCTTGGTGTTGACGTCTGCTCTTCAGGCCTTTACGATCTACACATTCTTCCAGCTGCTCATCAACTTTCTCGGCGGCGAGCGGGCTTTGATCATAATGACACATGGACGTCCCCCTGTATCTCATGCGTGGCCCCTGAATCACTTCCTCCCAAAGGTGGATATCTCCGATCCGCACACATTCCTGGCTGTCAAGCGCGGGATCCTCCAGTATACATGGCTGAAACCTATTTTGGCCATCGCCTCCATCATAATGAAAGCGACTGATACCTATCAAGAGGGCTACCTCGGTCTAAAGTCTGGATACCTTTGGACAGGTATCGTGTACAATGTCAGCGTCACTGTTAGTCTTTACTCTCTCGCAATGTTCTGGGTCTGCTTGCACGACGACTTGTCGCCATTTCGGCCGGTTCCTAAGTTTCTCTGCGTCAAGCTCATCATCTTTGCCTCCTACTGGCAAGGCTTCTTCTTGTCCATCCTGCAGTGGTTAGGAGCCCTGTCGAATGGTGTGGCAGGATACACACCCGACAACCTCGCTGCAGCAATACAGGATAGCTTAATTTGTTTTGAAATGCCCGTTTTCGCCATCACCCATTGGTACGCCTTCTCCTGGCACGACTATGCCGATCCAACCATTTCCGCCGCTCGGATGCCGGTTGTGTATGCGCTTCGAGATGCCTTTGGAGCCAAAGATCTCGTGGAAGACACGAAGATGACTCTTCGGGGTGAGAACTACGAGTACAGGCTATTTGATTCTGGCGATCATATCATCCCACACGCCGAGTCTAACTCTCGAGTGAAACGAGTGATGGACGGAATGCGGTACGAGCGGGGCGGAAAGGCAAAGTACTGGATTCCTAAGCCAGGAGAGGTCAACAGTCGAACTCCATTACTGGCTGATGCAGAATCGAGTAATCGGAGTCGGAGAAGCAGTACTTTGGAGCGTTTTCGTTCAAATAGCAACATTGAAGAAACCAACCTGGATCCAGATGACGAGGCGTTATTTACCAAAGCTCGCGCGTTGGAGTTTGGGGATTGGAATGTAAGTCTTGCCCACCTTGAAGACGAAGAACGAAAGGGAGAGCTGACTCTTTCCAGTACCCCGTAATTACTGCCAACGTAGTTCCAAGAGATCAACGTTTGCCGACTACCGCAACGTACCAGAATGTCGAGCAAGCGGCTGAGCCAGTGAAGAGAGCGCGAAAGCACAGGAAATCACGTACGATGAGCGGGAAAAGTGAGCAGCGGGATGACCGCAACAGCTCGAGTCATTCCCGACGAAACGGCAGTCACGAGTCGCCTTCCCTCAAACGCGGTTCAAGCTCCTTGACATCGCAAGGCTCCCATCGCAGCCAGTTAGTTGACCTCGTAGTCGAGGATCGAGAGGCTGAGGAGGAGGAACGGGCGCAAGTCCAGAGAGCTCTTGGTTCGACCCATGTCGAACCAGAGCCTAAACATTTTCAGTATGTGCTCGATTCTCCCCAGAATTGGTTGGGAAAAGACATTAACCACTTCACATTCAGGAGGCCTTCCGGTAAACCAGTCGGCGAAGAGAACCATACTGGACAGCCTGGACAGGGCGAGAGCACCTCTAATGAAAACACAGAAGCTGTTAAAAAGCCTGAAGAATCCGAAGAAGAAGAGTCAAGAACGCCTGTTTGGTCCTATGGGGGGCTGGAAGAGGAGAACGTTTGGGGTAAATAGATGGATGAGGTTGACTTCAACTGATACCAAACGGCTAATGACGGAATGACCTGCGATTTAATTATTCTGATTGTTCAACCAAATCTTTGAAATATATTATTTTTCTTTTGGCAATTGAATATACGGGATACGATTGCGCGACAGCAAAAGCCAGCAAAATGAGGACTCCGTTTTTGCTAACCACGAGGTAATCAGGCATCATTGGCCAGACAGTTGATGATAGGAATGATGATGTTCAAACAGAGAAAGGTTAAATCCCTTCTATTCTTGTCTACTGGCGACGTGGTGGTGATAGAAACCTATTAGTTCGTGCGGCTGAGCAATAGCGGTGCATCTTTACGCGCCGGCCACCACTAAAGCGGGAGTATCAACCACCACTATTCCAGTCAGGCACCGTCGCTTCTAGCCCGTCGTGGGATGAAATGTCGGCCATCCAAGCCAGTCGATGTGATTTACTCTGCTGCTGCCAGCAAATGAGATGCAGATCATGCCTGAGCGACGATCAACGATTCAACACGCTGCTTGAGATGGTGTCCCACAAACCGCTCTGACTGGTTCCGACCACCATGTTTTGAGCCTCGTGGGAAATTATCAGTTGATAACAGCTTGCTTAGCGCAGCAGACGATACTTGAATCAGGATAGAGGAGCTGCATCATGCAGGATGGCAATGCCGTTTCATCCTAAGCTGCGTGCGTGTTGTCGCTTGCCTGAGGGGCCTATGTATATGATGGATGGATTTCCCCCAGGCAGGGGACTTTTGTCGTTGGTTGAGAGTGAATCGAGTTGTTGTTGGCCGAGAGCTCCCAGCCTCTCTCGAATTCTGGGGTGGTGAATATCAGCTGGTCTGTCTGCTACCGTTGTTCTTGTCGTCATTCATTCTTATCTTTCACATTTGATTTGTTGTATTTCGAGTCCCTTTCAGCTCTGTCTGTATCCCCAAGAGGCGATGGAGCAACAGCTTTGAAGTCGGACGGCGATGAAGCTGGCAATTGAACAAGCAGGATCCGTGTTCACTGGCTGGATTGCGTCCTGCTTGTCCTGTCTGCGCCCTGAAGGTGATGTTCAGAACTCACATCATCAGCACACAATGAAGTCGAAGGGTATGTATCCTCCCCCTGACGGTCTATGTCATCAACAGACACTAATGTTCTTCCAATCCAGGCGTCGAACGAGAGATGAGGATATGTCATACTCAACCTCATCTCGTGCCTCCCATGAAGCTAGTGGTCTATGATGATCTTCCGAGCCCAGGTCCTCCTCCTCGGACCTCGTCCTTTCCATCATGGATAATGGAAGGCAGAAGCATCGCCTCCCGAGCATCCAACCGGGCCAGCATGTCGTTGAAGCGGCAGTCAACCACGCCATTAAGGATCAGTGCACCAACAGACTTCAGAAGAGTCGAGACTTTCCAGTCCTTCGCCTCCAGTCCAGCGGAGTTCCAACCTCTCGTGTTGAAGATCCACACACCCGGCAACCGCTTATCAGATCTGCCAACCTTTAACGACTTTCTCTCACAGGAGGACCAACGACGATCTCTTGCCTGGCCTGCAAAAGCCCTGGTCTCTCCCACTGACCCTTCACGCACATCCCGCGGTCGATCTCATCATCATCACTCTTCATCATCCTTCCAATTACCCCGCAAACCGGTAGGATCAGGGTCCCGTCGATCTTCCGTTGCCACGTTGGAGCAGCTTCTGGACAAGCAGACTCCAATCACGAGCCCTGTGATACCTCATTTCTCAGCCCGTACCTCGACCGCCACCGGCATCAGCGAGGCCTTGTTCTCGCCCACACATACCAGGCTGGAGTCTTCGGCTGGCTACGGTTCAATGCCACAACGCCAACGCAGCGATATCAACCCCATCGCGGTGGCCCCCAAGACACCCCCCAAAACCCCCCTGCAGGACAGGCCGCTACCAGCTCTTCCTACCGACAACACCCCCTCCTCAACAGGAACATCCAACCCCTCGCCCTCCACCCTCTTCGAGAACGACATCCCATCTCCAACTCCAAACCCAAACACCACCCCATCCCGCACTGGCCGCGTCACCCAATGGCTCCTCCAAACAGGCAACAAAGCCTTCATCCCAATCTCTCCCCCTCCCCCTGGGAAACCCTGGACCGAAAAGAGCGCGAGCGCCTTTCGCATCCGCTCACGCACGCTCAGCGGCTCAACGGCCGTCTCTTCCGCCCCAAGCACGACAACCACAACGGGCCTATGTCCAACGACACCCTCATCACGGGGCACCCAAGAACTCAATCTCAACCTACCGTCCGAAAAGGACCTCGACACCTTCCCGTCCCGGACCCTCTTCTCCAGCCCCACACCTGCCATCTCATCCACGTCCATATCCATATCCACGCCCACCCCCGACGACAGACCGTACCCCACCATCTACGAAGGCCAGCAACAACACTTCGCATACAGCGAGCTGGATTACTACACGAGTACCAATCACCGCCAATCAACCATCGGTCTGGCCTTTTGATCTTCCCCTCGTCTTCGTTTCCGTCATTCGTTTCTCGTGGTCTACGCAACGCACACGCCGTCGGGGGAGTAGTCAAGACAGCTGCCAGTGCCTTGCATTCAGGACTCGATCGTGTCGATGGATATACCCCGCTTTTCCTCTTGTTTTTCTCCGTGCGTGATTCCCCTTGCGTAATGTGCGTGCTGCATCATTCGGTCAGCGGGCCGGTTAGGCTGGCGATCTTTCTTGTTGGTCGGAAAGCGAGTGAGTGCTAATATAATATATTTCAATCGTATGGATAAGCAATTCACCTCTACAAATCTGTCGTATGCTACCCCCAGTATACAAAGCAGAACGTGTAAAAGGCTCAACGTCAGAAATAAGTGAAACCAACTGAGATGGTGCGTGAAGTGCCCCAGTCCTGTAGGATATATCGGTGCCAGTCACAGCAATGCATACGGTAGTATCAGAAAAGCAGTCACTTGGTATTCTGTCTACACTTCAAAGTCTTGGGATATCCGTGTGCGTCAAGGTATATAAAACGATCCAACATCAGGCAGTCAAACAGAACCGATCTCCAACTCCATGATGGAGAAGCAAGCAGATTGAGACAGAGAAAGACCAGACATGCAAACACCTCCGTACACCATCATTCCACTTGGTATCATATATTGAATGTTTGAACGAAAATTCGACCCTCCAATGTCTTTCCCATGTAAAAGACAAAATCGGCATTCCCGTCTCTCCACACACCCCGGAATACGCATGAAAGAAGAAACGCAGACATATCGCACGCAGACTAATCAGTAAAAAGCGAAAAGGCTGGTTTTGGGAAAGAAGACGTAGGAGTACGTCTTTCGATTCGGAACAGAGTAGCCAATACTCTCCTCTCTTTTTTTCCTACTCGGGATCTCCTAACGATTCCTCTTGCATGCAGTCTGTGGTATCAAATGGAAAAGAAACCGAAAAAGGAAAAACAAAACCGCTGAAAACAAACTTCTCGAAACAGCAGATCAAGTGCCTTGGGGTATAGTGCTGCAAATTGATATCTTGATTTAACGCGGTGGCCCAATAGGAGCCGGGTATCCAGAAGTAGAATTGGAAGTACTAGGACGACCACTATCACAAGATGCGCGGGGATCATGCTTGGGAGTCATGTCGCCTGGCGCGGTACCGAACGGAAATTTGGTATCAAAACGTGCTGGCCAACCGTTACTGCTGCTGTGGCTGTGGGAACTTCCAAGGACAGGCAAGTCGTCCTCGGGCAAATTCACACCCGAGTCATTCCATGGATTGCGGTAGCCACTGTCCCGGGACTCCATGGAAACAAGAGACGCCTTCGAGGCGTTGCTGGACGCATGTTTGAAGAACGAACCGGGAGAGGCCGAATGATTCTTACGACCAATGAAAGAAGAAAACGAGGAGATGCTGCCCGGCTTTCGGAGCCTCTCGAAAATCGATCCACGCTCGCTCGTCTCATCGGGAAAGTTGGGCCGGGTTGGGGAGTCGGTGACAAGGGGAGCGGGAGCATGCTGCAATAGCTTCGAGTCGAAGAAAGGAAGGGACTCCTCAAACGAGTCGGACTTGGGGCGCGGGATCGCACCCTTGACCGTGGTTGCGTCAAGGCCATGGGCGACAAGCCGGGAGATTAAGAAATCGATGGCATCCTTAAGCCCACCTGCGTTGTTGCGCGTGTATCCGAGCACAACACGGTCCTCCGGAGCGAAGGTCGAGGAAGCCGAACCAGTCTCCGAAATTGGCGACTCGGGATTTGCGTCCACCGAAGTATCAACCTCGTATTGCTCTTTCAACTTGGAGCAGACATCCTCGCGGAACTCGGGAGATTTGAAGAAATCACGCAATTCCTGAGAGCTCTGGAAGAGAAGTTCATGACTTTCTGGCACCATTCCCAGCAAGGCATCAACAGCCTGAGGAACCTGGTACTCGGGCCCAGAAATAGTCACGACGTCGCTAGCGAGCTCTGTGCTAGGGAACTCGATCTTGCAATTCCACTTCTTCTCAAGCTCATCAATCTCGGTCATGCGGGCAAGCAGTTCACGGTGGTACAACCGATTGATGACAACACGCTCAGAGACATATTCGGCATCCTGGATGCTATTAGAGACCATCCAATAACGGGTTTCGACAACAAGATCGGCCACTTACAACTTTCTCAACCATATCCATGATTTCCTGCTTGACTAGATCGAGACTCTGAGCATTACGAGCTGGCGTCCGGCAGATGACATTGTCAACCTTGATGTCATCATCTTCCTTGCCCATACCGCCGCGGTCCATGGCGTTGGAGAATTTGACGAAGACGGAATACTTCTTCATGATGCGTTGAATGTGCTGTCCGCCAATTCCGATGATCCGCTTGTGGTACTGATCCGGCACATGAAAAGAGATCGAAGCGGGCATTTCCTGCTCAACAAGATCAAGACCGTTCTTCGTGGACTCATATTGATTGCCACAGACGTCGATGTAGAAGTTGTACTCGTTGAAGCCATCGAAGATGATTTGGACGTTGCCTGAAGAGGGTCAATGAAACGCTGAAAACAGTGTTGGAATGATCAAGAAGACTTACTCTGGCCCATGATCTTATTGATCTTGCCGTTCTTCTTTCCACTGACAAACTCCTTGTGCTCATTTGCAAGCTCGATCTTGACGCGCATTTGATACTGGCTTCGCTTCACAAACGGGATTTGATTGACAACCATCATCGCGGATTTCACCGCGTCGTCCGACCCATTGATGGTGAAAGTGAGGTTGTCAAAGCTGACTTCGGCACCCGAATTGGTGCAGATGTCAGACAACATTGTGCGGATGTCCGCGGCAGAAGGAGCGCGGAAGCCGCCTTGGGAAGGGTCAGGCATGATGATCCACCACGAAGCACTGTAAAATTGACCGGCCTAGACATTTGTCAGCAAATGAATGAAACGGGGTCAGAGATTGTATAGCTTGACGCACCAGAGCCATTATCTCCCGCACGGTGCGCTCAACGTGCAGAACCTCGGTGCCCTGAATACGAACAAGGCCCCGTTGGCTGCCGAGTTGCGGGAAGAGAACATAGGAACCGTTCATTTCCATCACCTTCCGGACCTTGTCGAGACGATCAAGAAGAATATTATCAATCTTGTTGGAGTTGACGATGACATCCTTGACGTAGATCTTGACTCCCATCACCAGCTCCCGCAACTTCTGTTTGGCACGAGCGATTTGTTCCTGCGTATCACCCGTGATGTACACCTCATCTTCGCTGCGGCGATGGGCACCTGGAGGGGTGTAGCCGAAAATTCGTGGGAAGGGCGGGGGAAAGTAAATTGCCGTCCCGGTGGCAGCTTCGATGAGCTTGATGTTCTTGCGTGTCCGACCGCAGACCAAGGTGTGCATGGTCAACTCCAATCTCATGGCATCCACATGACGTTTCAGCTAGCGATGCCTTAGTACCGAAGATCAACTGATTGTAGAGGGGGGACTTACAATTTGATCAATCATGATCAAGACTCTGGTCTTGGCATGCTCAGCACTCTCCATGTCACCGTAGATGGAAACCCGGAATCGATGATCCAGTCCATTGTCTGAAGCGTATCCATACGATGAAACCACCGAACTGTCCGTATCGCGAAACTTGGGGCTCAGGAGGAAAATGTCGGTGCCTGTGTAGGCGGCCAAAGTATCCAGGTGTTCCAGAACACTCGATCGAACACCCTTGGTCGATCCATCCATGATGAGATGTATGTCCACGTCGACGGTCGCGCAGCGCTGAGGAGCATAGAAAAGTTAGCAAATATTACATCACCCGGATGTGATGCTCTATATCGAAAGTTCGTTTCATACCAGTAGGATGGGAGTCTCATTGAGAATTTTCGCTCGCATCTTGCGCACAGTTTCTCCGTCACCCGTGATGCAGACGTTGGTCACCAAGCCTTGAGGTCGCCTCTGCAATGATGGAACCGACTTGGGTTCCGAGGACGTAATCGCGGCTTCAACCCGACCGTTACTGGATTCCGTAATCTGACGGCATAATCTGCGAAGAGATTCGACGTTGCTGGCGTGGACGGGCAGGTTGTAAACCGGAGTTCCTTCCGGGGTGCCTTCAGGAAACGACCAGCGCTGCAGGGCGCCGGGACTCGCATGAAGCACATCATCGATATCGGGACCGGCGAGGGTGGAGGAGTATGGGACATTGAAGGAGAGGTTGACAGTGGGATCGATTCCGGTGGGAGGAGTCATAGGAGGAGCGCCGTGCGGTCGCCGAAGAGAGTGGGAGGCCATGTCGGTATGAGGTCTAGACATGCCAAAGGCAGGCGTCATCCGCTCCCAGCCATGACGGGCCTGGCCCGTAAAATTAGAGATCTTGTGCATGACAAGAATAGATCGAATCTCTGACCCCTTGAACAAGTCGAGGGGAAAGAGAGGGAAGGAAGCAGAAGGAGAGAAATGGCGGAAGTTGATCGGAGGGGGTTCGAAGAGAAAGGAGAGGAGGGATGGATCGATCTCAAGAAGGATGAAGTCGCCGTTCTCGACAGGGATGATTGGAGGGCGGCGTTGACTGGAATGGTGTGGGTGGACAGAGCGTGCGTTATGGAACCGGAATGGTGGGAAAAGACAAGCAATCGATCAACGAGAACAGGGTATCGAAGTGGGGAGAGGAGAGGATGAGTTAATACTGAAGACGATGTAGAGAGAGAAAAGAAAAAGAGGAGGGAAAAGAGAAAAGGAAAGAAAAAGACCAAAAGGATCAAGAAGAATTGTTCAATGAAGATGGAGAGAAGAGAAGAGAATAGATGGGAATAGTAGAGGAGGAGGAGGAGGAGGAAGAGGAAGAGGAAGAGAGGTGAGAATGTGAGTAAGAGAGAAAGAGAGCTATTTTCCTCGAACGGTAGACTACGGTCTGGGTTGGCTGAATTCAGGTCAGAGTCAGATCAGTCGAGGTCTTACTTGCTGTTCGATTCTTCTTGAAGATCCTTCCTATGATAGCTCTATCCAGTACTAGAGTAGATAGATAGAGCATGAAC